TAACATCAAATAAAACACTCCTTTGTTGTATTTCTGCATGGTTATGCCTAGTAAGAAGAGTTCTGGTTTTAACTCTACCACTAACTTTAATATTTCTTCCAGCCATTTTTTAATCTTATTCCAAAAGTCACGGGCTCGTGGACACTCCCACCACATATGATAGTATGTCCCTTTTGCCAATTTACATTTCCAACATTTGGAGGAGACATTTGGACCCATTTTAGCTAATCTTACGGGTGGGAGATGCCACCTGTAGAACATTTTGTAGAGGTTTTCTTTGTAAGAGGTGGCCAGAGTAAGCTTCCTGTTTCTTACCCTTGGTCTGTTCTGAGAGTGAAGGGAGGAAATATTATCTTGGATACAAGTCATTGCATGCCTCATGCCATCTAAATGATAGCTATTTGCCCACTTTTCAGTATGATGTGATACCTGTTCCATATCAAATTCATTCCAAACCATTAACATTGTTAGCAATTAAAAGTGGATGAATTGCCCAGAAGAAATTCTTCCCTAGACTTCATGTTATTCACCTCAGTGTTGTGGTTAGCTGTGAATGGGAAGAGAAGGAAAATGGACACTTGCATTGTCATGAAAGTGAATGCTCCCTTTTGTGAAACCATTAAGAGTGTTTATATTGGGAAGGCATTTTTTTTTAAGTGGGAAGGAAACTATTAGTCTGCAGTTTGTGGGGAAAGCTTTTTGCAGATTTGTGTAAAACATTTGTGTAAAACAATTACTAAGCAGGAGTTGTTTCTTTGTTTTATCCTGTACTAGGTGGTCGAGGTCGTTGTATTAAGCAAGGGGACAACTGGTACAGCCCCACTGAATTTGAAGCTATGGCTGGAAGGGCCAGTAGCAAAGACTGGAAAAGAAGCATTCGTTATGCTGGGAGGCCAATACAGTGCCTTATTCATGTGAGATTACTTAGCATCTTTTTCTTCCTTCTGTCATATATGCCAAAATAAATACTACTGAATTCAGTGGGATTGATTCCTAAATAAACACACATGGATTATGACCTTTGAAAAGAGTTTCATCATGTGCTGTATTTGTACTTATGTTTATACCAGGGGTCCCCCAATCCCTGGTCTGTGGACCAGTACTGGGCTGCGGAATGCTAGCAACTGGTCTGTACAAACAAGGAAAGCCCCATCCACAGGATGCAGGCATGCCCCCTCCGGTCCACGGAAAAAACTTTCTCCATGGTGCCCAAAAGGTTGGGGACCTCTGGCTTATACAACATATTTCTTGAAAATGGAGAAGACCTCCAGCAAGGTCTTACTTAGGATAAAAATGACCAGAAAATATATGTGGGAATCGGGGAAGCAGTAAAAAAAACCTTTGTAAGACACCCTTTGTGCATACATAAATATCCTGCATGTTATTCCCTTACTGGGTAAGCAACATTATACAAAGCACAGGAAAAGAGAAGGAACTAATAAGCAATATATTGAAAGTGGAAGATGAGAGAAAAGAAAAGAAAATCTAACTAGTTTCTGGTAGTAGCGACCTTTCAGTGTTCTTTTCACCACACAGTCTTATTTCATGACATCATTTCATAAATTCCCTGTACTTTAGACAGCTCCCTATTTGCATTATTTGTGGTTCTGCAGCATCTGGAGAGTGTATGCTGTAAAGAAGCATGACAGTGGTGGACTCAGAGGTGAGGGGACAGGACCGCAGGATAAGATACTAGATTGGTTGGCATACTTTAAAGCAGTGTGTGACAACCAAGCTCTCAATGCTTGGAGAACTAGAAAGGGCTTCCTTGTTGTATTAATGCTGGATGGGTGTCAGTTTTTCCAACCTAAGATTGCTCTTTTCCAGTTTTAATATTTTAATTAAAGCTTGTTATAAGATAAAATACAAATTGAAACAAAAGTCAGGAGAGAGAAAGAAGGAAAAGAAAGAAGAGAGCTTCAAAGAGAAAGGAAACAAAAGTAGTGACTTTCAACTCTTTTCAATGCATTAACAGCATTACAGCATTAACTTTTTGCTTTACATTTCAAATCATTTCTATGACAACAAAGTCAGTCTGGTCATCAAAACCTAAGCTCAAGTTTTCATTGTTTTTTCAGTTTCGAGCACAAAGTCCAGAAGCAATTTCCAAGTAGCAACAAAACAACATAGATTCTTCTCTTTCATTAAAACTTTTGCCATCTCCACCAGCTTTATCATCTTTACTATCCATTCTTCCGTGATGGGAATTAGTTAGGGTTGCCAGGTCTGCTTCCAAAAAATAGCGGACAAGCGGGGGGGGGGGGTTAAGTAGTAAAAAAAGTAGACTGTACAGCTTTAGATTACGTACCATTTCATCATAAAGCTTTTGAATAAAAAAATGTCCACTACTTTGTGAAAAAAAATAGTGAACATAATGTGAAAAAAGTGGACTGTCCACTCAAATAGTGGACACCTGGCAACCCTAGAATTAGTGTGTCTTGCCATCTTTGTGCATATAAGATTCCTAATACTGCTCTTTTCCATCAATTCAGGATGGAATACTGAATCCCCATGCAGCCTCATGCACTTGCGCTGCATGTTGTGATGACATGAGTCTGGTGAGTCTACAGCTGCTGCTTGGATTACTTGATGATGGGCTGAACTACTAGGTGCTGGTTATCACACAGAGATGATTTATAAATACTGTGGGCTGAAAGATCCTTTGCTGGACAGGGAAAGGCAGCAAGGATACAAATGGGTCCTATCACCGTTTCCAATTGATATCCTCCTCTAATTATTGCAGTAGCAGGCTTTTAGGTAAAATAAATTATTACCGGGTTTTACTTAGTTTTGGTAGAAGATTATTAACAATAAACATCCACTTTTGTTTTAAAAACATATTGAAAATCTGTGGAGTTTACCTAAATGTTTGTGGTATGGTGAGAGGCACTCAGAAATGAGCATTCCCTGTGACAGGGGTAGGCAACCTTGGCTCTTTTATGACTCGTGGACTTCAACTCCCAGAATTCCTGAGCCAGCCATGCTGAGGAGAAAGGGAGAGGTTTCCAAGCTGAGCCATGCTGGCTCAGGAATTCTGGGAGTTGAAGTCCATGAGTCATAAAAGAGCCAAGGTTGCCTACCCCTGCCCTATGAGAACTTCCCTCCTCTTGAACTGTTTACTTTCCTCCCCCCACTCCCCAACAAGCCCCTCCATGAGATTGGCTCCTTCCCTTACTACATTTTGGAATTTATTGGAAATCTGGTTAGTCTGCAGAGCCTTTGGGGACTCGGGAGGAAAACAAAATTACCTTTGGAGTAGGAAGAGAGATTGTCGCAATGAGTACTGTTATAATGGGTACTGTTATAATGTTATTGAACATGGGATTTTCTCTGCTTATGTTATTTTGTGATTAGATGGATTAGATTTATTTATTAACCTTTTAAGCATCCCAATAATCAATTTGTAGTCAGTTTATAATAAAAAAAGCACAATTCGAATTTAAACTTATCTAGTGAATCAAATAACCAAACTAGGCAACAGCAAAGCAATTACCAAAATCTAAAACTATATGATTTAAACTGCAGTCTAAAGATCCTGGGAAAATTGGGAAAAAAAGGCTTCATTTGGCACCGAAATGAGGTCACTGTGGGTGCCACTTCAGCCTCTCTGGGAACGACATTCCAAACAGGGAAAGGCTCTCTCCCTTGTAGAAACTCCATCTCACCCCATTATTATTGGACAGTTTTTTCTGACTGAAGTGGCATAGAAGTGTGCTAGCAATAAATAAATAAATAAATAAATATTTGGCATGATTTTTTTGGTCATTGTTGTGAAGGTTACTAGGTATAGGCAGGCAGGAATCTCAAGAGAAAGTTGGCTCCACTTTCTCTTAAAAGGAAAAAGTTACTCTTTCAGCAAAGCCTACATCTTCCCCATCCAGATGTATGCCAAATCTGCTGAACTGTATTTCTTGTCAATTGTAACCAGTCAGTGTATAGCATGTTATATTATATTGAACTGCGATAGCTATCAGACCCAGAGCAAGCAGTGTGGGAAATTGTAGTCCACCACACTTGAAAGCAGCTCGTTGGCAAAAAGTCAGAGTTGGTACATGAAAAACTGGTTGTCATGGTTCCGACAGATGAAACTCTTCAAAGAACTTCGAGGCATTGTTTACCTTAAAGAATCTTTATTTTGAGTAGAATAGCATCGGCACTGATATAATCAAAGCCAAAAACTAAATTTCCCTCCCCTGAGCACATAGTATCAAAGCACAATTCCCTCCTCCAACTATCAGTCATAAATCACGTTTCCCAATTAGCTTGAAACGTGAGCTTCCTCTCCCGTTCTCCAGCCCGCCAATTTCTTATCAGCTCTGGTTACAATAACCTTGTTTCTCACGCTGGGTCCAGCGTTGTTATGTCTAGCTGGATTCTCGCTCACATTCCTCCTCCCAGCATCATCTAATTCTAAAAGCAAGAGGTAAAAGATGGCTACATTTCCATCTGTTGTCAATGCAAAAACATCCGATGTTAGCAGCGTTGACACTGGTCTTAGAGAAATATTGGGCCTTTCAAATTCTCAGCTTTCACTCACATTGTGATCCTTTAAAGAATGTGTCATCTAACATGAAATGAAAATAATTTGGAGTACGTTATCAGAGCTGTCCTTTTATTTGAATTAAAAAATAGCATATTATTTGAATTGAAATTTTCAATATGTTATTCGATATATTATTCAATAATGTTCAATGTATTGAATGTTGAAGTTTCTCGTGCACGACAGCAATAGCAACTGAGCACTGAGCTGTCTGATAATATTTATAATGAAAGGATTTCATATTTATCAGAATTGTGGATGTAAGAAGATAGGGCTGAGTGGCTTTGGACTGGGATGCTTTGTCTGCAATATAGAAATCTTTTAGATCCTGTGTTCAGTTCATTGGGTCAAGAAATCAGTTTTCTTTGGTGAAGCAATCTATACAATGTTTAGGTTATATCCACTAGCAAAAAACAAACAAACACTAGTTCTATCTCCAGAAAGAATTACTGCCATATTCTGACGTTGGTTGCTTTCTTTTTATCAGAGTGGTCCTGTAAGACTGTTTGTCCCCTATAAAAGAAGAAAAAAAGAGAATGAATTGCCTACAACTCCAGTGAAGAAGGATTCCCCCAAAAACATCACCCTGCTTCCTGGAACCGCTGCCACCACATGTAAGGATTCCATGCGATAATTCACAAATGAATCCCAACTGTCATTTAACATTTAGCGTTGTTTTTAAAATGACAAAAATTTCCGTTTCAAAAACTGATATGCAGGTCCCGAGGTTTTGCTTGAGAAAAAATACAGGAAACCAGAAGTTGCTGTCAAGCTTTACGTTTTTATTCAGCTGAACAAAGAACGGGCTTCTCTACAAAGAGACAAAAGCCCCAAATATCAGAAAAGCCTTATTTTTATACCTACTTTGATTACATAAGGCAGGGCTTTTCAACCAGTGGTACGGGTACCACCTGTGGTACCTTGGCACCTGGCAGGTGGTACGCGGCCATCCTAGAAAAGTGGTAGCGGGGGAGGGGAATGAGCTGAACCAGTGGCAGCACCACACAAGCCTGAGCGAGAGATGGCTGGAGCTGCAGGGCTGTCAGGGCTCAGAGGAAGCGTCAGGATCAGCGCTTCTTCGGGGCTGTCAGGGCTCAGTGAAAGCGCCAGGATCAGTGCCAGGCTCCAGCTGGAGCTCGGCACTGATCCTGGTGCTTCTGCTGAGCCCTGAAGAAGCACCAATCAGCTGGAAAGCAGCACTGATCCTGGTGCTTCTGCTGAGCCCAGAAGAAGCACCAATCAACTGATTCGTATTTATGACGGTCACAGTGTCCCAGGATCATGTGAAGTGACCAAAACCTGCTGCAATCACCCAGCAGACGGGGGGAGTAAAAACCAAACACCCCCCACCCTACCCCAATCCTCAACAGAAATGCTCACAACAATGAAAACCTCGGACAGGAGGAAGAGCGCCACCGGGCGGGCAGGCAGGTGATTTGCTGGGCTGTGCCTTGGGGGGGGCACTTTTTCAGTGCCATTGTAACTTCGAACAGTCACTAAGCAAAGTGTTGTAAGTCGAGGACTACCTGTACTTTATTACTTTTTTCCTTTTTGGGGGGAGTCATCAAGTTTTTGACACCTTGCTAGGCGACTGGTGGTACTCGGATATTGCCATATCCTAAAAGTGGTACAATGGGTGAAAAGATTGAAAAGCCCTGACATAAGCAATTCACCCAGCAAAGCTGACACACATAAGATAAAGACTTCGTCCTTTAAGGCTGGCACACTATAGATAAGAAGGAAGAAAGCAGATGTTCCCTTTTGGGTGTTTTCCCTTTTGGGTGTTCCCTTTTGGGTGTTTTCCCCCGAGACACCATATGTTCACTGTTGGATGGTTAGAATATTGGGTATTTCCTTTGCTGTCCTTTCATGACCCTGCATTCATGGGTCTGCAAGTGGCCAGAGAGAGCTAGGCCATCTGCACGTATTCACAATTGATACTGCCCCCTAAGTCCTGGTCATCAAAACAATTACATATTCAATTATTTTATTTATTTATTTATTTATTATTTACATTTGTATCCCGCCCTTCTCCTTGCGGACTCAGGGCGGCTGACAATTGGATAAAATACTAACATGTTATACCTAATTAAAATTTAATTAAAACGAAATATTTAAATATGTCAAATTAAAAGTAATTTAAAACCCCTTTAAAATCCCTTAGGCTAAAAAACCCCGCTAAAATTCCCTAGGCCAGACCCG